CCACTCTTCCCCAAGCCTGTAGCGTTGCATGGGGTTGTTGAAGTGCAGGACGCGGCACTTGGCCTTGTTAAACCTCGTACAGTTGGCCTTGGCCCATTGGTCCAGCCTGTCCAGATCCTTCTGCAGCGCCATTCTACCCTCGAGCAGATCGACACTGCCACCCAATTTGGTGTCATCTGCAAATTTACTGAGGGCGCACTCAATCCCCTCATCTAGATCATTGATAAAGATATTAAATAAGACTGGCCCCAAAACAGAGCTGTGGGGAACACTGCTTGTGACCGGTCGCCAACTGGACTTAACTCCATTCACCACAACTCTCTGGGCTCAGCCACCCAGCCAGTTTTTTACCCAGCGAAGGGTATGCCCGTCCAAGCCATCAGTTACTAGCTTCCTAAGGAGAATGCTATGGGAGATGGTGTCAAAGGCTTTACTGAAGTCCAGGTAGATGACATCCACAGCCTTTCCCTCATCTACTAGGTGGGTCACCAGGTCATAGAAGGAAATCAGGTTGGTCAGACAGGACCTGCCTTTCATGAACCCATGCTGGCTGGGCCTGATCCCCTGGTTGACCTGCACATGCCCGTTGAGCGTACTCAGGATGAATTAACATGCATTAACCCAGGAGGGCCTGGTGCAGGAGCAGCCAGCAGTGAGTGCCTGCATGTCTCCTCCAGCCTGGAGCTCAGCGTGAAGCCTCCAGCCAGTTTCCCCTCTCCTCCCCAGTGTTCCATTCCTCTCTGCCAGGGTTGCTTGCAGCCCCCAAGGTTCCCATGTCCCTTCCCCACTGCTATCCCCAGACTGCATCTAGAGCCTGCAGGCACCAGCCAGACTCATCCCTGCCTCTCCTTGCAATGTTCATGCTTGGTCCCACAGAATGGGCAGTGCAAGTGCCCCTGTCCCCAAGGTCGGCAGTCACATCCCTCCCAGAGCTGCCCAGCACTGCCCAAACCCAGCTGCCATTCCCTGCCTGCTCCCTGGCCCCCTCAGCCACATTACCTGTACATAGTCTCTGATTCCACATCTCCGAACCAGACTTTGAGGTGTGCATGGAAATACTCCCCCTGCACCTCCAGCATGGCCACATCCCCGCCACCTGTGAGCTGTGATGAGCAGAGTGCATGGCAGTGTGTTAGGTGGTAGAATGAGCCAGACTCCTTCTGCTGCAGGATGCTCTGCCTGTGTGTCCCATCCCCATAGCAGCAGTCCAGACCTGGGCATTCCCACAGCATCCCAAAACCAGGAGATGCTGACTGCGGGTGCAAGGGCTCCGCAGCAGGAGCCATGACAGAGGCAGGCCAGGGTGGCTGGTGGCTGGCACTATGCCTACCTGCAGGGCAGTGATGAGTGGCACAGGGCTGACGGGCTCGTGGATGCAGGACAGGCTCTCACTGAAGGTGTACTCCACTGTCTCGGTGCCAATGATGGTCCAGCAGGAGCCGTCGTTCAGCAGCTCCCGGTTGGCTTCCTTTGGGCAGGGAGATGCCTGCGGAGAGTGTCACAGCTCCAAACACACCGCAGTACGCATGGCAGGGGACCAGGGCCAGGACACCTGGCTTCTGCCCCTGGTATCTCAGTTCCAGCAAGTGACACAGTGCCTCCACTTTGCTTGCTGGGAAATGGGGATCATGATGCCTTTGCAAAGACCTTGATGACTATGTCCCCTCCAAAGCATGCAAGCCAGAGGCAGATGGCTTTGCAGTGATTCTGTCTTTAATTTGGATGAAACCCCCCTTTGCTGGAAGACCCCTCCTGGTGACATGTTCCCCAGACACCAGCAACGCAGAGGAGGCTGGAGAGATAACAAGGAGGATCCCAGGAGTCCTCACTCCTCCTCACGCTGCTGTACCTGGAACTGGATCACTTTCTCCATGGAGAGACACAGGTACATGCGGTCGCTGCCCTGGAACTGGAAGGCACATTTGTGGAGCTGGGAGATGGGCTCGTCCACGTCCAGCATGGCGCACTGCTTCGTCACCTTCCGGATGATCTGCAGGGCGGCAGCATCATCCCAGGGATGGTACCTGTCACCCAGAGGCACAGAGCAGCCAGGTCTATGTGCCTGACACCTGCAGGGATGGAGGCTTACCAGGGGAGGCAGGGTGACGCCGGTGGCTGTGCAGACAAGCTGGACCACAGAGCCGTAGCGGATATACCCTTCCTGCAGGGAGAACTCACTCCAGGTGCAGCACTCATCGGCTTGCCGGGAAGGAGACAGGCAGAGTCACCGCCCTGAGCAGCCAGGGAGCAGGCCAACCTGCACTGCCTTGCTACGTGATAGTCTGGCCATGCTCCTGGTGCTTTCTTACTGCTTTCTCTGCTCTGCAGGTGCTTGCTGCTTGCAGAGACCACCGCTCCCTGGGAGCCCAGCATGGGAGAGTGGGACTGGGATGCGGTACCTTGCAGGGACACCACTGGAGACAGCATGGGCAGGGATGCTCTGGGCTCTGGCCTCTTCCAGGCAAGTTACTTGCTTGGATTTGTGAGCATTCAGACTGGTACAGCCTGTGTGCTCTCAGGACATGATGCCAACCCTCAAGGCCAGTGGGAAACAGCCATCGGCTCCAGAGATACACCAGGACCACCAGGCAGAGGTGAGATCTGAGCCAGGTTCCCGCATCCCCAGGCTAATTCCCACCCCTTTCACCCCCAAGAACTGGGTTTGCATGGAGGGAGAGCCAGGGCTGGAGGCAGCCAGCCCTGGGTATGGCTGGCATCAGTGGCCCCACAAGGCTTCTTACCCAGGTGGAGGGTGAAGGCTGCCCACTGCCTGGCACTGGCGATGAAGGCTCCCCCTTCGACAGAGAGGTAGCGGGTGCTGACGGTCTGGGAGCGCAGGCGGTTGAAGAGGGAGACTTTGGAGCCCGAGGAGATGCAGACTGTTGGGAGAGGTGGTTATGTTAGTGCTTGCCAGGTCCACATGTGGCTTGAACTATGGCTTTTGTCAAGCCAAGGGAGGACAAGTCCTGGTTATGGGTGTAACCAGCCCAACAGGAACCAGCACCCCCCTGGCTGCCTTTCTCTGTATGTGAGTGCCAGCCCAGCTGGGCTTTTCAGAAGTGAAGCCTGCAGAGTGAGGAGCATGTTGGCATCAGGGCATTACACATTGTGGTGGGTGAACCCTTCAGAAAAGACACATCAATATACCCAGATACATTCCCCCTCTTTTGGGGATGCCCATGGGCTTTGGGTCCAGCCTGGACCACTCCAGAGCCAAGTTTGTGAGCTGTCTGTGAGCGCTCAGACAGCATCCCACCCTGGGCTTATGCCCACCTTCCTCCCCACAGAGCCATCCCTGTACACACGGTCCGTGTTCTTCAGCGACTGCTTCTTCTGCGAGGGCTTGGAGATGACCTTGATCAGCTTGCTGTGGAAAGTGCCAATCTCCTGCCCATTGCTGAAGAAGAGCTTCAGGACCAGGCGGAAATGCTTGCGCTTGTCTGCATCCGAGATGTACAGCGCCTTGGCGCAGCCGAACCCCTGCCAACGGCAAAGAGAGGCTGCTAGCAGCTCCAGCCCAGCCCTGCCAGCTTTCCTTGCCCTCCTCACCCTCCTCACTGCCCCGCAAGGACATAATAGTGCCCTTTCAAAGAGCCCCAGGTCCATTTAAAGGGGGAAACGACCAGAGATGTTATTACAGGTGGAATGAAGAGCTGGGGATCAGCAGAGGCTTTACTTATACAGGGGGCACAGAATTCCTCATGGAAATGAATGTTCACATGTGATTTATCCCACATAACATGAAAAATCACCCTGGGTTTATGGTTTCCTGCCATCCTGGCTGATACGCTGTGCCTTAGCAGCAATACAAGCACTGCCAACAAAGGCTCTTTTTGTAAGGTTTCTGGCCCGACTCAGACCCTGTGCTCTTCAGGGACCCCAGATAATGCTTTTCCTTCTTTTTTCCCACTATCAAAAAATGCCAGAGGTCTGCTGAAGCTTCTGAACTTTGGGATCGATCAGGGGTTTTTTTAGCTGTTTATCTGCACAGGAAAGACTGGGCTTTCATTTTGCGATAAGCAGTAGTGCTGGTCATCAGGAGAAGGTACCAGGGCTGTGCAAATTTGGGCAGCTTGCCTGCCACAGGGCTGTCGACCTGAAAAGATGAAGCCAAAGAAAGATGGGACTCTTTGCAAGGCAGGAGAGCCTGCCTGGCTGCTTGGGCTGCCACCCGTACCACAACAGGATGGCAGAGCAGAGTGGGGACCAGTGGCTAGGAAGGAAGGACTATGACATCCCGAGGAAGGGGATGATGTGACATCCCAGTGCTTGGGGTGACACCAGGGACAGCCCAGCCTGTGCATTATCAGGGTCCCCATGGGGTGCCACTGCACAGCCCTGGGGAGCATCAGGCTCTACCTTCGCATCTGGCTGCTCCTCGAAGCTGAGCTTCTGGGTCTCCATCAGGCTGCTTCCCATGCTGTCCAGCCCCATATACCCGCACACCTGAAAACTGTCCTCTCCCAGGTCCCTGGCTGGAAGACATGGGGAGAAGCACCCTCCATCCCCCACACAGGCATAGGTGTGGGCTCAGCTCTTCCTGGGATGGTGGGTTGGCCCAGGCTCCAGCCCTCCCTGAGTCTGGACCGCAGAGGGCTCAGCCTCAAGGGGGAAAGAGGAGTTTGGGGGGCAAAGAAAAAATCAACTGGGTCACTCTCCCCTTTGTGGAGGTGGAGGGCAGCTCTCTGTGGCATGGGAAGGGAGGGAGGAGAGGTCCAGGGCTGCCACCCAGTGCTTACCTTTTATCTGCTCCTGTTTTAACTTCCATCCTGGCCCACTCAGGTAAACGCAAGGTGGGGGGCAGAAAAACCTGCAGAGACGACATTTTCTTACTGCACTTCAGCACCCAGAAAAGGTGCTCAGGGGTGACAGGATGACTGTGCTGAGAGTAGAGACCTTCACTCAGGGCTCGCTGGTGCCAGGAGCAACCCTGCACCCTGGGAAGTACGTGGTGCTGCAGCAAGCGGCTGGGGACCCCCCAGCTGGGTATTGCGGGCAGGGCTGGCTGGAGGAATTGGGGTCTGCTGAAGAAGCTGTCTCAGCCTCTCTGCCCTGCACTGGCTGCCTCCAGCCGCAGCATCCGGGTGTCTGCTACATCTATCAGTGGCCATGGGCCCATTGGCCATGGGACAGCCCCAGGAGGGGAAGACAGGGTGCCTCAGCCCCCTACTGCCCAGAACCAAGGGTGGATCAGACCCCCTGCCTCTGCCTGCCTGCCATGTGGGAGTTTCAGCAGGTCAGGAACAGAGTTTGCATTCACAGCCAGATTTGGAGCCCAATGCAAATAAATTTATAGCCAGGGTTTTGGAAACCTATTTTCCTGTGTTTTATTTGGGTTTCCACTGTCTTTGCACTTGTGTGAATGGTGCAAATTCATCCCCTATTGATACTAGGTAAAGTGCCAGCCGAGAAAACACCGGTGCATGGAGGTGGATATTTCAGAGCCATAAAGTCCTGGGTACAGGTTTATTTAAACAAGTCATCTACAGCACAGGCCCCTGGCTCCCACCATCAAGGAAAACAGCATCAGCACCTTTAAACATTAAGCTGAGAGCTCTGTGCTGGTTTTCTCTCCCTCTCCAGATCTGGCATCTGATATTCATGCTCATCCCTTGCATGGGGTCTGGAGCAGGGGGAGGAGGCTGTTCTTTCTGAAAGCTCAGCAATACGGGGGCTTCCCTCCTGGCTGGGAGAACCCATCCTGAAATAAAACCTTTACCTGTGGACCAGCAGCCCCTGGCAGGAGGCTGGATGTGATGAGGACTTTGCAGGCACAGCCAGCCCAGATTAGAGCTGTCTCCTGGGGTCACTGGGGTCTGGGTGTGGTTATGCCTTAGAGGTAGAGCTTGTCCCCTCATAGCTACTCCACGTTTGGTAATAACGGACGATTATTTATATCACAGGGATTAATGGAGTATTAATTATATTACACTACCACAGTCTGATGTCACTGCCCAGGAGTAGCAATTTTGGAGATTCAAGCCAGAACCTCAAGGTGTTTTTGCAGTGTGGGAAAGATTTTCAAAAATAGCAGCTTTTTGTAGACCATTGGGCATTGATGGAAAAGCCCCAGTCCCTGCTGTGGCCATTTAGATTTTAAGACAACATTTCCAGAGCACTTACAACACTAACCTTTCTTCTTTTTCTTCTTGAATAGCTTATTTCCTTCTTTTACTTCATCTTTCTGATCTCCATTACATCACGGGTGGAACTTAACCATTGGGAATATCTAACTGGGATGGATGCAGGTGGGGGGTTAATATCCTTAGTTCAAGACTAAACAGAAGTTTTAGATGCAAAGAGGTCATGAATGGATGGAGAGGGGATATGTAAAATCATTTGCTTCACCAGCTTAAATCAGAGAAATCTAGCGAGGTAGAAAGAGAAATTGAGCTTTAGGTAGCTGGGTTTGGAAGTGCTATCAGAGAAGCCTGAGCCATGTCCTACCTTTTTTCATTGCCGTATGACTTCTGTGCAACTTTGGCATGCAGTATCAATACTGTCTGGTCTGCCGGCAGTTGCAGGTACCTCCGCACACTGTCTCGAAGCAGGTTGGTTTGGTACGGGTTGGATCTACAAGACAGCGGTCCCCCAGCACTGTAACACTAGAACCAGGCTCCTTGCCTTGCCCTACCAGCTCTATGCCGAGCAGGGAGCCTGGAGCACCCTCCATGTCCAGCCTGATGGGTGGGGAAGGTGGAGAGGCTTTCCCACTGGAAAGCACTGGAGCTCAGAGAGCATCCCAGCTGCTGTAAGACTGGGATTGGCACTGAAAAATATGAAGTTTGGATAACTGAATAACTGCTTCATCAGTTTTCAATCAAACACACACAGGGCACTACGTTTATAGCTCTGAAACGCGCATTTCTAAGACTTCCAGTCCCACACAATGCTGGCAGTGCCCCAATTATTAATTTGTTTTTCCACCTGATGTGCTTGTTGCTGTATGGCTTTTTGGTGAGTTGGGAAATGATGCTGCTGAGCCGTGAGTGCAGCTGGGGAGCTGTCATGCAAGGAGGAGCTGCTTGTTGGCTTCTGCAAGGGCTGTTGGGTGAAAATAGCTGCATTTTTCTCTGAGACATAAGAGGTGGGTGGTTTTGCTGATTCTTTCTGCTCTATTAACTAGAAGGAGTTCCCATGCACCCAGCATTTAACTCTACTAACTTAGTAGGTTGGGCATTAACTGGCTGGAGAGAGATGAGGTGGGTCCAAGCCTGAGGGACACCTGGGACACATGTGCAAGAACTGGGGAATGAGACAGGGGAGAGTTATGGGGTGTCTACTGGGGAGACCTTTTGTGGTGCTGACTTGCTTTCAGAAGAGGTGAGACTGCCTATCTGAAGAAGCCAGTGGAAGGCTATATCCTCTGCACTAGCCAGAAAGGATGTATTTACCCAGACTGAGCTCCCAGGGAAACACACAGCTGTCCAGGTCTCCGGCTGCAGGGACTGCCACCAGCTTGCACTGGGAACAGATGGCAGTGGAGGGAACAGCTGTGTATGCTGTGACCAGGTGGACTATCTACTTGGCCTGGTGGCAGAGCTAAGAGAGGAAGTAGACAGGCTATGAAGCATCAGGGAGTCTGAGCAGGAGATAGGCTGGTGGAACCACGCTCTGACCTCCTAGAAACCTGAACAGGCAACAGCCACCAGAGAAAGCCTGGGACCAAAGGGTTCTAGTATCCTCCCCCCACCAGGATGTAGGCAGAGTCTTAAAGGGAAGCAACAAGTGGAAACAAGTCCACAACTGGGGCAACAAGCGAACCCTTTCCTTGCCCACAATGACTCCCCAGGTGCCTCTGCACAATAGGTATGAGGCTCTAGATGTGGAGGACCAGTCCATGGATGATGTGGGTGTCGATCCATCTACACCAGAGGAGTCGCCAAGACCACAAAGACCTACCCCCCATATTACTACCACCTTCACAAGGAAGAAAAGAAGGGTCATAGTTGTAGGAAACTCCCTTCTGAGGGGAACAGAGGGTCCAATATGCTGGGGGGACCCTCCTCATAGGGAAGTCTGCTGCCTCCCAGGAGCCCAGGTCAGAGATACTACCAGGAGACTTCCCAGCCTGCTATGGCCCTCGGACTACTACCCATTACTGCTCTTCCACGTGGGTGGTGACGAAGTTGCAGTGTGTAGCCCAAGGGTGATTAAAAGAGACTTCAGGGCCTTGGGACGGTTAGTGAGGGAATCTGGGGCACAGGTTATCTTTTCCTCCCTCCTTCCAGTTGTGGGAGGTGACATTGGAAGGAACAGGCGGACCCAATCTCTTAATACATGGCTCTGTGGCTGGTGCCACCATCATAACTTTGGGTTTTTTGACAATGGGATGGCCTACACAGCACCAGGCGTGCTGGCGTCAAATGGGAGCCACCTTTCTCAAAGGGGAAAGAGGGTCTTTGCTCAGGAGCTTGTGGGACTCATTGACAGGACTTTAAACTAGATGTTAAGGGGGAAGGGGAACATACCAGGCTTGCCTGTGACAAGCTATGGGATGGTACACAATGGTTAGAGGGACGGCGTGCTACTATAAGCCCTCAACCTGTTGCCAAGAGGCGTGCTGAGGACACTGTAGCACAGTTGAAGTCTTGCAGAGGTGAGCTGGGCACTCCTAAGGTAGTAGGAGCTAACAAAGGAAACCTCCATGAAACACCTCAAGGGAAACAAGGGATGTTCCACTAAGAAGGCAACACGGCCAACAGCCTAGATGAGATGCCTCTACATGAATGCACACAGCATGGGGAACAAACAGGAGGAGTTGGAAGCTACTGTGCTACTAGAAAGCTACGACCTGATTGCCATAACTGAAAGTTGGTGGGACGAATCCCATGACTGGAAAGTGGCTATCGATGCCCACAGGCTGTTCAGAAGGGACAGGTGAGGAAGGAGGGGTGGAAGCGTTGCCCTCTACATAAAGAAATCAATACAGTGTGAAGAGCTGTCCCTGAAGAATAGCCATAAGCAGGTCGAAAGCTTATGGGTAAGAATCAGAGACAGAGGCAACAAAGGGAACCTTGTGGTTGGTATCTACTACAGGCCACCTGATCAAGGGGAGCCTACTGACAAAGCCTTATTCCTCCAGCTCCGGAAGGCTTCGCGGTTGCAGACTCTCATCCTGCTGGGGGACTTCAACCACCCCGACATTTGCTGGAAAAGCAACACGGTGAGCTGTAGGCAATCCAGGAGATTCCTGGAATGCGGAATGCAGTGAGGATAACTTCCTAAGCCACGTAATAGACACCCCTACCCGAGGGGATGCAATGCTGGACCTGATGGTCACCAGTGCAAGTGAGCTCATCGGTGATGCCAAGACTGGAGGCAGCCTGGGCTGCGACGATCATGCGTTGGTGGAGTTCACACTCCATGGGAAAAGTGAGGAGTACAGTCAGGACCCTAAATTTTAGCAAACTTCCAGCTCTTCAAGGAGTTAGTCAGAAGGACCCCTGGGAAACGGTCCTCAGGGACAGGGGAATGGAACAGAGCTGGCACATATTTAAGGACACCTTCCATGGAGTGCAAGAGCTCTCAGTCCCCAGGTGTAAGAAATCAGGCAAGGAAGGGAAGAGACCAGCATGGCTGAGTCGAGTCCTGGTCCAACTAAAGAGTAAGAGGGAACTGCATGGCAGAGGAATCAGGGACAGTTGTCCTGGGAAGAGTACAGAGAAGCTGCCTGGTTGTGTAGGGAGGGGGTCAGGAAGGCCAAGGTGCAGCTGGAGCTGAATTTGGCAAGGGATGTAAAGAATAACAAGGGCATCTACAGGTATAACAACCAGAAAAGGAAGGTTAAAGAAAGCACACCCCGCCCCCCTCCCCGATGAATAAGAATGGTGACCTAGTATCAACAGACGAGGAGAAGGCTGA